AAGTTAAACATAGCAATTTGCTATATGTGTATATTACAAAATAATCACTAAAATAAGTCTAGTTAATATTCATCACCATGCATAGTTACAACTGTTTTTACTAGTAATGGGATTTAATCTTTAAAAACTGATTTTTTGGTGTTTTCTGTAAACTGTTTCTTAAATCACAGGCAAATTTTGATTTCCGACTTTAGTAAGTCTATCTCAGAGGAGGAGGATATGCCAACCATCATGCTCAATAAGGTTTTAGGTCATTAGTCTAATATAACTATGAAAAAAATGTTTTCACAAAGTCGTGACTTGCTAATTGACATGGTATTGCCCTGTAGAGAAAATCACACTTATTTAATCTGAGTGAGATTTTCCTCACTCGGATTATCTGTAATTGTTCAGTTCTTGCCAAGGCAGATTTTATTTCCAACTTTTTATCAACATCACCTCCTCTGCTCAATTTCTTTGATGTGACCTCATTCATTTTTCAGTCTGAAATTTACCAAGATAGTTCTTTATGCAACAAATAATAGTATACATAGACTGTAAAATAAGAGTAGCTTTAACTTGAAGGTTAAAGCAAAATTTAGTTCCAACCACCCCCCCCCAGATTTTACTTTATATTTTTTCTTTAAGTTGTTATACTAAAAATATTGCAATAAAGTACACCATGAGACATGTCCATCTCTTATGTCCCTGTGTCCTGAATATATATATATATATTTTATTGCAAAATAGTCTGTTAACTGGCTGCAACATTAATATTGAATACGCATGCATGTGTGTGCTCACAGGCATGCTATTATAGTAGGTAGTATTAATGGCTAATTCAAGTAAACAACTGTAAGATGCACAGCAGTAAGTTGTCCTGATACCTTGGTGTGGCTTGAAATTACCTCTCTACCTCAGGATACTGATTTTACTCACAAACCCCTGGCAGGGTGGAGAACTTTTTCCCTTTGAATAAGAGTATTTACTAAAATAACATAAAGCTAAATCAAATAGAACTATTACAGCAAACAACTTGGGAAGTTAAATACTTGTGTGTTTTTTTTCCCAATTATAGACTTCTATAAACTTAAAATACTCTTTTAAGATATTCACACTGTATAAGTAATTAGACAAGGTGGCCATCACACTAAGGTGGCCTTAATGCCTCAGTAGCCTTGGTAATCAAACCAAAACCTAAGCCAGCGTCAATGCACTAAAACCTGAGAAAATGAAACTCAGGAACAACCAATCAGAAACCCTGGGCAACTAGGCTTTGCTAAATAAGGCAGCTTAAGCTGGGGCCAGTCAAATGACTTCCTTGTTTTGTTTCTTCAGAAGACCCCTTCCCCTATTCTTGTTGAAGGATGGCTTCTATCTATCACTTGTTGGGCACTGCTTGGTTCTAATCAATGTATGCTCAAATCAGCTCTTGAAAATGTTAATGTCCTTCAGTGTATCCTTTAAATTACTAAATGGTTAACTTTATAGTGTCTTTTAATGCAACAGTGTACAATTGAATGAAATATCCCTTTCCAGGGAGAGTACATTTTCACTGCTCTCTCTTTTTTAAAAAAATATATTTTATTGATTTTTCACAGAGAGGAATAGAGAATTAGAAACATCAATGAGAGAGAAACATCAATCAGCTGCCTCCTGCACACCTCCTACTGGGGATGTGCCTACAACCAAGGTACATGCCCTTGACCAGAATCGAACCTGGGACCTTTCGGTCCGCAGGCTGACGCTCTATCCACTGAACCAAACCGGTTGCAGTAGCTCTTAACCTTCTGGCCCTTTAAATACAGTTCCTCATGTTGTGACCCAACCATAAAATTATTTTCGTTGCTACTTCATAAGTGTAGCTACTGTTATGAATCGTAATGTAAATATCTGATGTGCAGGATGGTCTTAGGCGACCCCTGTGAAAGGGTCGTTCGACCGCCAAAGGGGTCGCGACCCACAGGTTGAGAACCGCTGGTAGGGCATCCCTGCTTTCTTTTCATCTCCTTTAATAGACCCTTAAGGATCTCAATTTCTCTTCATAAAACACACAAGACTTTTGATTTCTGGATTTCATTTATTCTTCCTTAACAACATTGGGCACACCTATTCTTAACGCTGCCCACGAACGTTCCCTCGAAGGACTCACACTAAATTCACAGTCTCCCTTCAACTGACGGACTTAAACTTGATCCACGGATTGGCGCCCCGAACTTCAAACGGTGGGTTGTCTTTGTAGATGTGATGGGCTATTTCTTCCAGAGCGGGTTCCGGATCCGTGATAGCAAACTGGGCCGCCTCCTCGATCTCCTTCTTCACGTCCGCATCGATGTCCTTCAGCTCGTCCGCACTGGCCAGCTTGCCGGCCAGCATCCTGTCTTTGAGCAGCATGATCGGGTCGCTCTTGCTCCGCACCGCCTGGATTTCCTCGCGGGTGCGGTAGCTGACGCCCGGGTCGCTCATGCTGTGTCCGTGGTAGCGGTAGGTGTGCAGCTCCATCACGATGGGCCCCTTCCCCGACCTGCAATGGTCAGCGGCAAACTTGGTTGCCTCCCGAACACACAGCACGTCCATCCCGTCCACCTTCAGGCCGGGGATGAAATGGCCCCTCTTGTAGTATTCGGTGCTGGCGGCGGCTCGGTCGGTGGCCGTTCCCATGCCGTAGAGGTTATTCTCGCAGATGAACACGCACGGCAGCTTCCACAAGCTGGCCATGTTGAAGGCCTCGGCGACCTGGCCCTGGTTGGCAGCGCCATCCCCATACAGGGTCAAGGAGATCTCACTGCTGCCCTTGTATTTGCAGGCCAGGGCGATCCCGGCCCCTATGGGTGTCTGAGAGCCCACGATGCCGTTTCCCCCGTAGAAGTACTTGCCGTACATGTGCATGGAGCCCCCTTTGCCTTTAGCACAGCCCCCTCTGCGCCCCGTCAGCTCGGTAAGAATGGATCGGACCGAGACCCCGCGGGTGTAGCATAAGCCGTGAGCCCGGTAGGATGTGATGACGTGGTCGGTGGGGTTGATCCCGGCCTCCAGGCCCACGCAGCAAGCCTCCTGCCCGTCACACAAGTGACAGAAACCACGGATGAATTTCTGCTTATACAGCTGATCTGCCTTCAGTTCCATTCGGCGGACCATCTGCATCGTCTTGTAGTATTTGAGCCCCTCCTCCCGGGTGAGCACGGCGGTGGCAGGGGGGCCTTCCTCCAGCCGGTAGAGCTCACACGGCTTAATGTCAAATGTGGCCTTATCGGCGAAGGTACCGGCTGCCCCCAGCATTCTGCTGGCGGGCTTCGGGGCGACCCGGGGCAACACGCGGGACACAGCCGCAGCGAGCATCTTCCTCATGGAGGTCTGCACACCAGGCGCGGCACCTCCCAACTGCCCAAGCCCCGCTCCTCCGCGCGAACACGAACGCGCGTGGCGACACAATGGCCTCGCTGGGGACAGAGGTCACGTCATGTGCGCTGGGCCGATGGCTGGCCGCCAGCCTGGAGTGATGGATGTGTGCTGGGCCTTCCAACTGTAAACTTAGGAATAAAGGCTGTTTCTTCTACTGGAAGACTTGGCTGAACTGCACACTGATCTTAATTAACGCCATTGTCATTGCTGCACCATGATAGTCTGAGTCCTTTTTTCCCTGCTAAATGCTACATAGCAGTGCTTCCTGGACGTGTATCAATGGAAGAGAGGAACAAACGCAATTTCTAAGGCACACCAGAATGCTGACAGTTTAAACCGAAGATATTCTCATTGATGGTTCTTTTTAAAAAATCCTTAACATAGGCATGAATGTTTTATCCTATTCGAAAATATACCATATGTAGTTTAATGTAAAAAAAAAAATCTACAAATTATTTAGTTTAAATACTTAAAAACAAACACTTTTTTAAAAAAAGTTGGTGCTCCAGCAGAATACACCACATTCATCCTTTTAGCTTCTAGGACCTGTGTTCACCTGGGGAGGCAGCGAAGCGGGTACAAACCCCAGCCTGAGAATAAGTTAAACCCAACAATAAGCATTTTGCTTGGTGTGGGGAAATTAAAGTAGGGCTGAGATGCAGATTGATGTAACAAGCTTTTGATATGGCATCTTTCTTATAATCCTGAATTTTGTCCAGCCAATTTTAGTCCTAATTTCTGACCAATTTACTTAAAAAAATTTTTTTTGTGTAGTCATTTCCTATAATGTCTTTAACAGGTTCCCATAGAAAATATCAAGATTCAGGTGATTTTGTCTTTTGCTTTTATAGCAATCTAAATAGTACCAGTATTAGTCTGGGAAATTAAAAGCATGTTCTTACAAATGCCTCTTTATATAGTAAACATTAAAAAGTGTAAGTTTTTATAAAGTGACTCACTCAGCAATATACAGTTTGGACTGAAGGAGAGCGATATTGTGTTTGCTTAAGCAACTGCTAACAGTTCAATCACAGGACAAAAGAAGTCTCCGGTCTAGGATTTCAAAGATCACTTATCCTGTTTCTATTCTATGCTTTTACTAGGAAGGTGATTTTGTACCTGAATAAATCAATCATAACCGGAGATCTTGTTCTATTTAGACTGTTAAGCAATTCACCTTAATGTATGCTGTTTTATATCCACTGCCTATTGGTAAATAAACATCCAAATAAAATGCAAAATCCCTGTTTGTAAATAAATTCTTACCCCAATTGCCCTAGGGCATATTCAGAGCAGCTGCTTTCTCTTTATCTAGTAACTAGATACTTAGTTGCAAGTATTGTTTTGGACATGCCTTTTGATAGTTAGGCAGGAAGGATAAAGTAGCTTATTAAAAAGTTGTGATTTCCCTTAAAATTCCATCCTCCTCCCACCTTCTCAACCCAGTCATCATCATGGGTTTCATTTCTCCACTCATTTTAAAATGCTGCTGTTGGAATTCGTGGTCTTCTGTGATGTGTGCTCCCTCTTTGATAGTTAGCCTGTCTCTGCTGTTCTCTTTCATTCCTGCAGGTATTGGGGGTCTCCAGGGAGCATTATCTCCACGAGAATGAGAAAAATGACACTGCAGGATGGAACAGTAGTGTTAATGGGTCGTGAGTGACAGCTGAGCCTTCTCTCAGAGGTGTCAGCGAGCCTAGCACTGCCAGGAACACAAGAGCTATAAAGCAAAGTGTGCCAATTTAATCTTGTCACACATAGCCTGGCCTGCAAAGATAGAGCTCCCCTTAAAAGCCCAGTGTGACAAGGCTAAACCTGACTGGTGCCAGAGGAGAAACATGCAGAGATGCCAGTTGGGAAATACCTGTGCTACAGGTCGCCACAGAAAAGGGACCTGTTATTTTTTCAACAGGCTCTGATAATAAATAATAAAATGCAATACTTCCAGTGACTTCCTGGACATTATTTACCCTTTATCTCATAAACTATCTTAACTCAAAGGTAAAAGAAATTACAGTTGCATAGTATGCTTACAAAATATTTCCATTACATTGATTAATCCTGATAATAATTTTGGAATGTTGACAGTATTTTTAAACCCATTCACATTTTCAAAGTAAAAGTGAACTTTTCAGATGCCAGTGTAAAAGTTTATGACTCCCCAAGGAGATCCTCTTATCTTCCTCTATCTAGACAAGTTTCAAGCTAAGCATGGACAATACAGTTGATGATATGTTTTTTTTCAAATGTCTTGTCATCCTATATAATAAAAGCCTAATATGTTACGTGTCAGGTCGTCTGGTCATCCATTCAATCAATCAAAGCATAATATGCTAATGATATGCTAAGGCTGCTCAACTGCTCGCTATGACATGCACTGACCACCATGGGGCAAATGCTCTGACCGGTAGGTTAGCTTGCTGCTGGGGTCCAGCTGATCAGGACTGAACAAGATGGGTTAGACACACCCTAGAACACTCCCTCGGTCCCTCCCCAGCCCTGATCGTGCACCCGTGGGGTCCCCTTGGCCTGCGCCCTCTCGCAATCCGGGACCCCTCAGGGGATGTCAGAGAGCTGGTTTCGGCCGGATCCCGCAGGTCAGGCCGAGGGACCCCACTGGTGCATGACATTTGTGCGCTGGGCCTCTTGTTATTCAATAATAGGTTTATTACCAAACAGAACTAAGAATGTTGTGCACTGTGCCTCTCATCTACATGTTCACCACTGAAATGTTGTTTGCAATTAAAACCCCCATAAATTCTAAGATTTTAATTAACACAGAAACTCACTTTTAATATATTTGAAATTAAAGGAAAACAGATGAGCACTTTTAAAAGGTCAGTGGTAGATTTTACATTTAATTAAGAAAAAAACTAATAAAAGAGAAGCTAGTGATTACAGCAGCAGTCATTCATGTCAGTGTGACAGAATTTCACATTTCATGTCTAATGGTTGATCCTAAAGGGGCATTTCTGAATTTATCTTTAAAGTGTCACTCCCATTGCATTGATACCATATAAAATATTTTAAAATGAGTGACAAGGAAATGTTAAAGAAAAAAAAAGAACAGTGTGTTTGAAAGATATTTAAATTCATCCAGTAACAATTGCACATTTTGCCAAATGTTAAGTGAATAAATCTGTTAAAAAGTGAATATTTCTAGATAAATAATATTAGATCTCATTATATGATTAGTGGCAATCTATTTTTTTCATAGCACTAAGATTTGGCAATTAAGAGTGATGAGTAAGAACTTACTAAAAAAAAATTGAGTTATATATAACTCAGAGAAAAGTTTTACCCATTTGGTCCATTACTTTATCTCCTTTGGGAAAAGGGAAAATGTCAGTACCATATATTCTGCAAAATAATGACAATCAAGCAAGATTTCTCTTTAATCTTATAATAAGTGAGGTCATTACAGAACATAGAACTGTTGGCAAACTTTTTTTTTTCCTTCTCCTCACTCCTATCATAATTCTGAAGTATCTATCCTATATAATAAAAGGCTAACATGTAAATTGACCAAAGAGCAGAATGATCGGTCACTATGATGTGCACTGACCACCAGGGGGCACAGGCTGGGCTGAGGACCCCCCCCCCCAGTGCACAAATGTCGTGCACCAGGCCTCTAGTACAGCGGTCACAAACTTTTAAAGCCTCACAGACCACTGGTTGGTGACCGCTGCTCTAGTCTACATATATAAAAGCCTAAGCTACCAAATGACCGAACAACTGAACAGCAGGTCCCTATGATGTGCACTGACCACTAGGGGGCAGATACTCAACACAGGAACTGCCCCCTGATGGTCAGTGCACTCCCACAGCAGGAGCGCTGCTCAGCTGACTGACGGGTGCCAGATGTCACTGGGCTCACGGCTGGCAAGTGCAGCTGCGGTGGCACGAGCCTCTCCCACCTCTGCAGCAGTGCTACCAAGCAGCGGCGGCAGGCGCAGTGGGGCCAGGATGAGTGGGAGCGGCGCCAGGCCTGGGCTCAGGCTCCTCCCTGGCTGCCTGGCCTGCAGGGATCAGGCTGAAACCGGCAGTCCAGCATCCCCCAAGGGGTTCTGGATTTCGAGAGGGCGCAGGCCAGGCTGAGGGACCCCACTGGTGCATGAATCTGTGCACCAGACCTCTAGTATACATATAAAAGGCTAATATGCTAAGTATCCTTCCCTCCATCCAGTTAATGATGTCACGTACCAATGCCTGGCTTCCTCTCCCTAGCGACTAGCCTCCTTGGAGTTTCTTCAACCCAAGAACACAGGTGGAAACATTTTACACTTTAACCAAATGTCTGTGAAGTGTTTCCCGTGCCTCATCTCACTTGATCCTCACAAAAGTCCTAGAGTAGGTAGATAGAAGACTTGGTGGAATCCTAGTCCCTGTAATTTTCTTTTCATTAGCCGGAAAATGGAGATTTAGAACAGCGGTCACAAACTTTTAAAGCCTCACAGACCACTGGTTGGTGACCGCTGCTCTAGTCTACATATATAAAAGCCTAAGCTACCAAATGACCGAACAACTGAACAGCAGGTCCCTATGATGTGCACTGACCACTAGGGGGCAGATACTCAACACAGGAACTGCCCCCTGATGGTCAGTGCACTCCCACAGCAGGAGCGCTGCTCAGCTGACTGACGGGTGCCAGATGTCACTGGGCTCACGGCTGGCAAGTGCAGCTGCGGTGGCACGAGCCTCTCCCACCTCTGCAGCAGTGCTACCAAGCAGCGGCGGCAGGCGCAGTGGGGCCAGGATGAGTGGGAGCGGCGCCAGGCCTGGGCTCAGGCTCCTCCCTGGCTGCCTGGCCTGCAGGGATCAGGCTGAAACCGGCAGTCCAGCATCCCCCAAGGGGTTCTGGATTTCGAGAGGGCGCAGGCCAGGCTGAGGGACCCCACTGGTGCATGAATCTGTGCACCAGACCTCTAGTATACATATAAAAGGCT